TGAGTTCATTAATGGAAATATTATATAGCTAAGATGTACGTTGTAACTTACGAAATTTGTAACTTTTGTTGACACCAAATAGGTTGTGGCCGTGTTGCTTCGGCACAGTCTGCCTGTCGGACACCCCGAGAGAATTGAAATGTTGCCTCATTCTCATTTCATTAAAGCTTAGTTATGTGATTAATATATCTCAGGGGGCCAGCCGTGAAAGCTTTCACTAAAAATGGGTCCACGTCCCAAAATGTTTGAGATCCGCTGACCTACAGCATGCGGTACCAAATTGTCATTCCCTTGCTGTCATCAGGTTGCATCGATGGGCTTTCCTTAGCTGATAAGCAGGACCAGTGCACTTTATCGATAAACATCTGCTCAGGTGCCTCCGAGGCTTCTCAATTCTCAGTAACAACAAATGGGCGCATGCAAAAGCGACGTCACCTTGATTCAACCGCAACGGCCTGAAACTTTCCATGTTTGCATGCTACATGATATAAACAAAATGCTAAAAGTACAGTTCCTTATGTGCCAAAGCGAGTTAGGTAGTTTGCGTGTGTCATTGTTGAGTAAACTACACGCGCGCTTGGCCGCAGTTTATACGTCATCGACGTATGCCACTGTTCCGCGTTTGCGCGCGTCTATTTTCCCGTAACTAGCCCCCCCCTATTGGTGCGTGCTCTAGCTATTGGTATCGGTGAGAGTACCCGATAAACCCCTGCCTAACCACCATGGTCCCATGTTCTCGGCTTAACTGCTTAGAAGGAATTGGTTTGCAGTGTGTGCCCGAGTGCGAAGCACTGTGTAACATCTGATGCGATCCACACAAGCACACATCCAAAACCGAAATCGCAAACTTTGGAGCAAAGAGAAACAAGCACCTTGAAAATAAACTAATGAGGTTAGGGTCTGCAGTGTATTGACCTGATAGTTTACTTAGATTTTCTGGGAGTAGAAGAAACACCCTCCATAGCATTTTTCACTCCAAAATAGTCTCTGAGCGTCCCGTTGTTTTGCGGAAAATGGATAGTATATAAGTCCCACTGGAATGATCAATAGAAATGACTGGTCAATAAACGATTACGTGAATTGAAAGAAAGATGTATAGACAAACGTTTCATAGTTCTCATTAGATTGAATAAAAGCGATTAAGTATCATTTAGTTTAATGACTGCCCCCATAACCAGTCGCGGTGGCCGAGTGGTTAAGGCGTTGGACTAGAAATCCAATGGGGTTTCCCCGCGTAGGTTCGAATCCTGCCCGCGACGTCCACTTTTCGTCGTTGATCCCTGAGAGATTGGCCTCTGATATCCCGCCACGGCCAGTCGGCATCCTAGGGTGCGCTCGCTCTGGTCGCGGCCGAGTCCCAATAGTCGCTGTTCTCCGAAGCGTCCGTACGGTGTGCCGGTGCACATCAATATCCTCGAATTAACCGAGGCACGATGCGTCTTCAAGTGAAACACACAATATCAAGTGAATTCGCACTACTCACGAGTAGCCTAATAGCGCACTATCGGACACGCATAAACACGATAATTTGCAAATACATTGTCACCTGGAGGGTACTTTGTTCCACTGCGTAAGCTTCGTGTCAAACGCTTCGGAGTTGACTACGGAAATTAATACTGATTGCTTTCATTCTCTATTTCAAAGTGCTTTACAGTATCTGCAGCAGGGAATTGTTTAGGTACGTTTGGTTGTATAGAGCAAAAGGATAGCCTGTCAGCCCCATCATTTGCGCTCACTATAGGGTTTATCTGTTGTTGCGGAATATTGTTCCGCAAGGAAACAGCGAACACAACATGATACATGCGAATAGGTGTCTCGCAATCCTCGGAAAGCCATAGGATTCCTTAGTCCTGCCTACACCTTTTTTAGCTATACTTCTTATTGTGTCTTTCGATGAATACAATACTGCATGTTTCCAATAATAACCGTGCACTGTAGTCGCTTTATCAGGTTTATCTGTCTTGTTAAATGCTGGCGCGTACCGCAAACTATCGCGCTATAGCTAGTTCTCCCGATCCAAAGTTCATTAAGGCCGTCCCCTAGTTCTTTTGTGATAGGATTTGCCTCCAATAGTTCTATATATTCATTATCCTACGGACTTTAGTTGGGTATAATCCCACCCCTTGTTAACAGTGCCCCGAGAATTGTCCAGAGCTTTTGAAAAAGCTAACTGAAATTATGATTTCTTCAGATAAAACACATGCTTTCGTTAAGTGGCATCAGCTCTGACAAGAATAGGTTTCACCACATCGTCTCAACACTTCCTCTATGTCGTCGACAACAAGGAAGATATTCGCTAGATGCCGGAATCGCAAAATATCTATGAGATTACAATTATAGTTACTAAAATATCCAACGGTCAGCGCGCCAAGAAACTCATCAGAAAGACGGTGGTGCACGACCACAACTATTTCGAAAGAGTTAAGCAAAATCCGCGGCAGTGGAAAATGCCCTAGGAAGGGAAATGTGCTCCATCGACTGCCACGAGAGACAACATACTCTATACCGAAGTAGTTACTTACCGCTATCGACTGCCTAAAACAGCCGACCGAGTCCGGGAATCGAAAGGTGAAGTCTTTGAGGCAGGCGATGTCGTGCGAATACCCGGGCGAATTGAGAACATCAGACACAAGAGTGACCGAAGGATTTGACGACCTGACGGCATCGTGCGTGTACAGCGTAGTCGAAATCTCCTTCAAGATCTCTGTCTACGGCATCTGGTGGCTGGTATCACGATGTGGGATATCCAGAGGAAAGTCGAATCTCTTTAGAGCCCGTTAGCTCAATGAGAAAACGATTTGAGGCAGTAATTCCCAGCAAACGCATCTATTTATTTCAAGGGCATCCAAACAGGTCAGGCGACGCACGTACCTAGTTCCTCATGGGCTAGAACGACCTTATATGTCCTAGAAACTGATATTTCTTGGGTTGAATATATAAATATAAGTAAATCCTCAAGCCATTCGTGCCGCTTCAGCAGCCGATCCTACATTACGATTGTGCGTCAAAACTGCTGACTTCCGATGCTGGCTGGAGTTGGAAACTTGCAGGGAACGAAGTAGTTTCAACGGGAATTGCAAAGGAACAGAAAGACCTAATAGATAGGGATGGGAATAAATGAATGCGTTTGATCGAGATGCTAGAACATATCACTAACATTACTCTTTCAAACGTGGCTCAGCGGAACGAGCCGGCCAACAATCATGGGCGACGAACACAGACGGCCTACGAGATCGCCTTTACTTCGTTAGCCATCGACAAATGAGAGTTTGATAGTTCATGTCCCTATGTCGGACTCAAACGATGCGCGCAACCAAAGAAACCAGTATCTGTGTGTATCTTCAGCACTATCACACCCTCAAGTCACGAGGCTATTTCGAACTGATTTTCTTCGACGCTTGAATTTGATCTTTACATACTGCCGTTTACTTGAGAACGCGAAGCATGGCCGATTAATTGACCACAAACCACACCGCTGTAAGGAATTTAGTGAATGCCCAATCAGACAAGCAAACTCATCGTCCAGATGGTCTTCGGTAACTTCCCACAAGTATTCCATACATCAGTTGCGTCGCCATCTACGAAAATCTGGTGAATGATCTTGACAACCTCAAAACCACCCGAGCGGAATTTGTACATATACCGAGCATGTGGGTATCACTTTTACATATGGTTTCCAAAAATCTCGGAGATTGAGGCTTATTTGACAATCACCACGCTCTAAGTAACTCTACTTTTCCCCATCGCCAATCTATCAAGCAGGATTAGGTCGCTAGAGATGGTCTAGATGACACCCGTGTGTTCTTCAAAAGCAATCATTCCCGAAAATGTTTCGAGCATGGCGATTTTGTTATTTTTACCGACCACAAAGCAAGTGGTTCGAAACACAATGAGTGGGATTCGTCAGCTGAATTTCTTGGCTCAATTCACAACTGGCCTGAGATCTAAATGTTGATTATCACAATGACATTGTCGATGCACTAGCAAGAGAGTGCTCTACCAGCATCGTCGGTCAGGTAATTGATTTGTGTGATTCTTCTTAGCGAATATTATCCCATCCCCTAGTGTCAACTGGCTAAGAGTGTGACTTTGTGTTGACGTGTCAGCCCATCAAAGCATGAATAATTTTGAGTCCCAAAATACTTCAATCGGTCGATTGTTGTGAGAGAGGATAATGAGGCAGTTGCCAAAGAAAACCGACAAACGACCAGTGAGGCATGTGGGCTTGAACGAGAGGGTAAACCCGGAATCCGTAAATCAGTACAGTAGGTCCATGAATCCCATCTTCCTGAGAGAGCACTAAACATGAAGTTGAAATAAAATGTTGGCGCAATTGGTACCTCATTGTTCGATCAGCCGGTGTCCATAAAAAGCGGGAACACTCACTACATAAAAAGTACCGGCAAATACTTGTACAGCCCATTGCTACATGAACCAGTGGAGCTGTAGCCACCTGCTAGATATGTAAATGACAAACAGTAATGACTCACTGGCCGCTTGCTACGATAGCGACCGACCCGAAGCGAGTGCGAACCTGCATTAAGGGTCGTGCACGTGAGTCTGTACAGTTGGTTCTCATGACGTGGTAAAATTATTACTTGTTCCGATTTTTAGGGTTATGATACTAGTTTTCGCCTAGCAAAATAAAGCGAGGTGTGACAATCGTACGAAGATTATGCAATCGTAATCGGGTCGAATAGCAACCATGTAAACGGATCGGATGTGCTGGCTTAGCCTATAGCCACATACGTCCATGCCCAGAGCAGTGTGGGTGCAGGCACAGTACGTGGAACAGTGACATTGGGTGTGGTCATTTGATCCACGAAAGCATCGCACACCGGTGAAAGTTAGTATTCACTAACTCGGATGACTGCCCACAACGCTGGGATATTGTCCTTCTGTGATTTCACATAGCACACGAGACGAAAGCACAGTGTATTTGAAAAGTCGTAAAAATAAGCATGTAGAAATTCGATGCTGTTTGTGTTGTGGTTCGTTGATCAGGTTTTGCTTCTAAAAGGGAACTCCGGATGATCGAACATGCTGTCGGAGAGAAAGAGAAAAGTTATTAACTCGACGAATTGAACAATCGAGAAACTTACAGCTGGGGTTGGATACGTCGAGTGCTCTGGCCTGCCGAATTCAGAAGTTTCATATCTTCGGAAGAAAGCTCAAAATCGAAGAGCTAAAACGAGACAGAGAACATGCGGCAGGGTCAGATCGCCTTGCTGATGTAAACAACAGAGATAGACCCAACATATGTAATGTGAATACCAGTTATGGTCATTGTAGACGCGACAAGCATAAAACGACCACCAGAATACGCGAACCAATTTGTTAGGAACTGCAAGGGGACAAGCAGAAAAATAGTCATAAAGCCAGACTACGCCGCTCTTTTCGACTTATATGGAAGTGGAAAGCAACCAGACTCCAAACTAAACTAGTGCTAAGCCAGATGCACTTTCTCCCCATCTCTCGTCGATTAAAATAAAGGCAGATAACATAGGAAAATCGAGGGTGTAAAATCAGTATACAACAGCATGACCTAGATAATAGGTTCATTTTTATATATATATATATATATATATATATATATATATATATATATATATATATATATATCAATGGTTGGCGGCATCCGGTTTCGGATTTGCCTGTCACTGTGGCAAGCCACAGGACGCCTGCGCCTACAGAGGGACCATGGATAGCTTGCGCTGCACCACCCACAGCTCCATCCACACACCCCATATCCGGTGTAAACCCGAAGGAATAAGACCGGGAGGCATGCGGATGGGAACCACGTTTCATCAACGGAGCCGGCCCACACTCCTTCACAGGCAAACACAAGCACGCTGTATTTGGGGAATCAAACGCACACAAGGCGGTGGCTGGACCGTAGTCCGCTCCACACTGAGTGGATGGAACTACTCTTTGATCCTAACACGGCCACAAGGACGGTGCACCCCGTCCCCACCAGCAACGACCAACGGTCTCCTGGAGAAAGTATGAACGAAATAGTGGGTAATAGAGAGATAGGCACCTTGTAAACATGCATATCGAGCGCAGCCACATCGGGGATATCAAGCAACAGCCAATCACTTGAAACGACAAGATGAAATCAAATAAATCGAATAATGCATACAGATACGATGGCGTAACTCTTCGCTAAATGAGCGTACCAAAGATGATTACGAAAGAATCCGCGGTAAGTTCAGGAGGTCAAAAAACTTACTCTAAGAAAATGCCACAACCGCGAAAATGCTATCGAAATTAATTACAATTGGCTTAAGCGATGTGTGCAAGTTTACAGAAGATAGTACAGGTAGACAATAAAATGAGAAAACCATTAGGAAAAATTGAAAACCCACCACCTGAAATAAAGGGACTTAGCATGCAAGCACACGGTCAGTAAATCGAATGCAGCGTACCTACAAACGCTGCGCTGGCTCTGTCTACGTTTTCTGCAGAACCCGCCGTCGCTTCGGTGGTGGTCCCGAGTGGCCTCGCTCATGGCTCACTAGGCCTGCTTGACTCAGGCACTCGCGACCGCATGTGCTACAGCACCATGTGCTCGATGTCGATGGAGTACAACCCATCGGCGCTTGAGGCTTTTTCTCTGCATGCATGAGGTCTTTCTCCCGCACTAAGGCAACTACCTTCGTGATCAGATTGCGCTATGCCCGCCGATCAACCGCCTTCGATTCCCATGACCTGCAATCAAGATTAGAACGTGAAAGGCTAACTTTGATCATGTCATGGTAACGTAACTTTAGCTTCCCCACGTGCCGCTTCCCAATACTCAGCTGACCATATAAGAGTTGTTTCGGTATCCGCGTCGAGTTCATACAGCTCACATGACCGGGCCACCTCAGGTGTCTCAGCAAAAGTATGCAGTCCACTGCATACATTCCACTTCGACACAACACTTCCGGGTCCGCAACTCTGTCGCCCCATCCGATGCGCATAATCAGCCGCAAACACTGTTGATGGAACCGCTCGAGATATCGCATATCCCGCCGGTACATCGTCCACGTTTCACTGCCGTATAGAAGAACGGACAGCATCATGGATTTGCACACCATCAGCTTCGTGCCAATGGTAAGCCGATGGTTGTTCCATACTCCGTACTCTGGCTCGGCCGGTGACCGAGTGGTCTGCACGTTTGCTTTGCAACCATAAGGTCACCGGTTCGAATCCGTGTAGGGGTGGGCGTCCTCGCGGTATACTCAGCCGGCGCGCGACTGGTGGTGGTCGCGCGGCAGCGAAGCGCCGTTACGGCGTTCAGCTGACACATTATTATTTTTATTATGTATTACTCTAGCTTCCCCAATGCCACTGCTACCTTCGATACGTGCACACGACGCACACTGTATAGTTGCTGGCCAACCGAAACCACACTCCCAGGCTAACCAGAAGCTGGAGGTAGTTTCCAACACGACAGCACCAATGCTGATTTGCGGTACCATTGCACATTGCACCTCCGGTGAAGGATGAAAGAGGCAGAAAGTTTTGCTTGTATTGATGGTGAGTCCGAATTTGGCCGCTGTCGAAGCCAGACCACTAGTCATATGCTGCAACTCATCCGCGCTGTGTGCAAACAACGCACAGTCGTCAGCGAACAGCAGCATACAGATAGTTGTCTCACAGACTAGGGTTCTCGCACCGAAACGACGGATGTTCAGCAACCCACCATCAATACGGTGCTCCACACGAACACCGTAAGCACAAGCCGCATCAAAAGCACAAGACATCACGGCATGAAGATACATATTAAACAGGGCAGGAGCTAACACACAGCCTTGCTTCACACCAGAGACAACTGCAGTCATCCGAGGTCTCTCCATCCAGCTGCACCCTCGCCCGCATACCACTGTGCAGACATTCAATTAAACTTACAAACTTACGCGGGCAACCAAACTTACCCAACACCAGCCACAATGCCTCGCGGTTCACTGTATCAAATGTCTTGGTGAAATCAAGAAAAAGCGAGTACAACGGCTAGTGTCGTTCTCTACACTTCTCTTGCAACTGACGAGCCGCAAACGCCATATCTATAGTGCTGCGACCCGAACGGAATCCACACTGTTCTTCCGCCACGTTAGGTTCCACAACCTGACTGACAAAGCGGTTAAGTTGGATTCGAGCAATCACCTTGCCCACACAACTCAGCAAGTTGATGCCACGATAATTCGTGCAACATTGCTTGCTCCCTTTGCCCTTGTACAGTTGTAGCACAAGGGCATCCTTCAGCTCAGGAGGCACCTCCTCCTCAATCCACACGCGTTGCACCAAGTGGTGCAGCGCAGTCAACAACGCGGGTCCGCCGTGTTTCAATACTTCAGGCGGGATCGCGTCAGCACAGGCACACTTGCTGTTTCGCAGCTGAGCAAGTGCTCTCTGCGTCTCATCCAGTGTCGGCGTCTCTGCCAGACTCGCCTTCACATCATACTGCTTAAGGCCGTTCAATGTAGGCCAGTCGATCTCTGAACGGTTGTTCAAGAGACAGTCAAAGTGTTTTCGCCAGATCTGCATTATGTCTGCAGTCTGTGTATAGGCAGCGCCTGAAGTACCATCGATCAGCGTCCTCAGCGGCTCCAACCTCGGTCCATACACCGCCTTCAAGGAGTCAAAGAATTCCTTGTGTTGACGACGTTCGGTGTAGCATTCCATCTGCCCCGCCTTCTCCGTCTACCATGCATTTTAATGCGACGGAACTCGCAAGTCAATCGCCGCCGAAGTTTCCGAAACTGACTATTCTTCCCCAAGTCACTGGGGTCTGCCACATGTGCAGCAAATGCTGCATTCTTCCCCGACACCAATGCACCAATCGTCGCATTGCTCTCATCAAATCAATCAGGCCACTTACAGTTTGCGCGCCCGATGGTCTCCTCCGCAGCAGCTGTCACCTGATCGCGAATGTGGTGCCACCGGTCAAGCACTGTGGCTATGCAGTCCACATCACACAGTCGTGCAGTCATCGCCCTCTCCAGCTCAGTACGTTTCGCCCCAGTACCGAGGGAGGGAATGTTAAATTTACGCCTCGGATTCACGGCAGGAGTGTAATACATAGATTTACGAAAATATATATACAGTTTGGTCCGCATCAATTTATGATCAGTGCCACACTCTGCTCCACGCAGTACACGTGTCATGCACACTTCACGCATATCACACTGACCTACGATGACATAGTCGAGCAGGTGAGCGTGACCACTCCGTGGGTGCGTCCAAGTTGCTATATCACACGCACTCAGTGCAAACCGAGTGTTCGTGATCGTCAGGCCGTGAGTGGCACACAGTGAGAGCAGCCTGTCACCGTTCGCATTCGCTAAACCAATGCCATGCGGACCAATGAGATCTGTCCACACCAATGCATCACGCCCAACGCGCGCGTTGAGATCACCCAGCAGAAATAGTCGGTCGCTCCTTGGCACAGACCGTGTCACGGAGGATAGCTGAGCGTAGAATTGATCACGCGTGTCATCAGGATAACACATGGTTGGACCGTAGGTGCTTATAAAAATGGCAAACTTACCTCTTCCGAGTTGTAGGCGAACAGTCATCAGTCGCGCTCTGATGCCTGTTGGTTCACGCACCAGTTGGCCATGGAGGCGACCGGATATTTCTAATCCGACCCCATGATCACGTGGTGTTGAGGCGGCGTTGCCCACCCAGTGGAATGTGTAGCCAGCACCTGCTTCCTGCAACGTACCTTGCTCAACGAGCCGGGTTTCACTGAGCGCCGTAATATCGATGTTGTAGCGCGCCAGTTCCATCGCGACCAGTGCAGTGCGTCGCTCGAGGTGCTCACTGGAGTTCCGGTCCAGTAGTGTGTACACGTTCCAGCACCCGATGCTGAGTGCATTGCGCACAGACATACGATTGCATTGGTTGGCAATCGCACGCGAGGTGGCGGTTGTGCTTCGGAGGTTTGCTAGAGGGACTCCACCCGGAGGCTTTGACTCAATAACCTGACCCACAAAACAGTGGGTTGTTTAGAGGTTTGCTTGAGGGACTCCGTCCGGAGCCTTTGGCTCAGTAGCCTGACTTACAATGCAGTGGGGAGCAGATCCAGCTTGGGAATGTGATTGCAGACAAATTGGGATCTGCTTGACGGCCGTCATACGTAGCCTTTGAGGTACTGCAACGATTCATATATGTTTTGCGACTGTAGTGGGATACACC